GGAGGAATTCAATTCTATACCTTTGCTTCATATGTACTTCCATGTCAGATGCCGTTTTGTCAGATGGCCCCTCTGCTGCCATCTCTCACACAGCAGAAAAATGTAGTGGAATATTGGTGGGAAGGTTCAATCTCTACTGCCAACTAACACCCACCTCTGATGTCATGGGCCAACATAACAAAAGATGACACACTACTTTAGGAGCAGCTCTCATATTTAGGGTGGGTAGGAGAAAATGTATTAGAAACATTTGATTTCTCTTAAAACTTCTAGCAGAAAACAAGCTAAATACGTACTTTTATTTAGTTCACATTTTAATACCTACAATCCATTCAGTACTTTGTATCATATTTAGAAGTGAAATTAAGAAATAAGCTGTGGGGGTTTTTTTGCCTTTTTTTTTTTTTTTTTTTTTTTTTTAAATCTTTCCTATTCCTTCACGTTCCTGGTCAACTCTGTGCAACCCAGGGAATGACAGAAATCGAAGTAACTTCAGTTGAATACAAATTAGTATTTATCTAAAATAAATATTTCAGATCAGTAGATCTAAAGATCAGTAGAACACTAGTGCTAAAATCAGGCTTTCTGTAAACGTGCTAAGCTACGTAAATATAACTATCAATGTGCTCAGGGTTTCTAAGTGCCATGATTCTGTATGTAAGCTTTCATAACATTCTACATGTTTTCAGAGTAGGGTGGAAAAAACAGGATTTATTTTCTTGGAATACAGAAATGAATTACATACTGACCTCTGAGAAGAAAAAAAATATGTAATGGCTGTACACAGTAAGAAAAGCACAATATATTTATTTCCTGCCTCTTTATTTAGCTTTTCCTAACTACTGCAATCCATGGAGTGTGATGCTGTATGGCAACATCACTAAATTCCCAAACCCAGTTCATCTCTAAAATAGGCCAAGCTGTACAGAGATTAAGAAAAGTATTATGACCTCATAATTAAGAGCTATATAAAAAAATGAATGCACAGAGAGAGCTAAACTATGCTTATGCAAGCAACCTTAATTCTGGCATTTCTTCATGCTATAGCATTTGACATTCAGACACTTAACTTTTCTGTTAGAAAACATAAAAACTTATAACCTTATGTTTTTATATATTAAATGCAATCTTTCAATATTACTTGGAAAAATTAAGGGATGTGTCAAGAAACCCAAACAGAAACTACGTCAACTGCAACTGTGAAAGCACACACAAACTGTTCTTGGTCACATTCACATGGAACCAAGGACACTACAGTGAGAGGAGAGCTCCTGCATCTGGTCACACAGGTGGGGTCACACACAAGAAGATCCCTAAGGGTTGGGATGAGAGCATGTGCATAAGGGCTGCTCTGGACCCCGATCCTAATCGATTCCCCTTATCCAGCACCATGAATCTGTCTTGTCTCCCAGGAACAGGCAGCAGCACGTCTACCTATCCTCACTTACAATTTTAGCCATGCATTTTTCGCAGAAAAGAAGGCCAATAAACTAAGAATGGGAGTTCAGTAGATCTTATTCTGCTTCTTTGCTGCTTGTGGGATTCACAGGCATCATTAGTAGAAGCTTTTAAAAGCCTTGAAGCAAATGGTGCTCTTTCTTCATTACATGACCATTTGCAGAACTCTCTATTGAGGGTCTTTATTCAGACATTGTAGCTTAGTCACACAGATGCAAATGAGACTTCTGCCTGAAGAAGGTCAAAAGTGCTGGGCATAGTGTTAACTTTTTAGATTCTTTTTTATTTTTTATTTTTCTTCCAAGACAGCTGAATCTAGTTCCTTGTTTTCTTTCCTGGTATATTTAAACAAGTCATTGAATCACCACAGTTTCTCATATATGCCTTCTACTATTTTTCCTTTTTTTCATTTCACTAGTGTACTTCAGATTTGTTTCGTTTAAGAGGAAAGGTTATGCTTTTCATATGATACACCGACTTAGCCACTGGCCAAACTAAATACGACTACTTAGAGATCCCAAAAGCTTAAAGTCTTACTTATACTGAGAACGGCACTCACCAAAAAATCATAGTAACACAGACTAATTAAATATTATTGAAGTGTGACACTGAAAAGTAAGTCTCAGAAGTCGGCTCTCTAGCTATTCACACACAGATCCATATAATAAGGTTAAGAAAAACTGATTGCATTTTCTTTGTTAGAAATCTCAGACATAAATATTTCAGCTTGCTGTGAAAGAGCATTAGCAAAGACATTAACTATGCCTGAAAGTTGGAAAATACTTGGAGTGTGACACCATTTTCCACAGCATACATATGACTGTAATGGTAGCATGTAAACAGACTTGTATGGCTATTCACTAATGAGTCTTGAGCCTTCTCAGCCTCTTTAGACAGTACTATCTTACGGTTCTAAAAATTTCTGAGTCCTTACAAGCCCATTACATTGTAATAAGGAAAAGTCGTAAAAATGTCATGACCTCCTGTCTGCATAACTTGTTTAAAAAGTGTATTTTAATAAGGTACGTTAACAATTTAAATAAGATTTTCCCATTGTATCCATAGATAAAGCGGAAAAATTTGTATACATACACATAGAATAAAAGCTGTTCTCAAAACTTTCGGAAAAGGAAGCTTTTCTGCTCCTTGGCAGAAAGCTATAAATTATACATATAAAAATAAACTATACCCAGTTGAACTATTATTAGGCTGTAATTTTAACCTATCAATTCCTAAAACCATGCTGTGCAGGCTCCTCTCTTATGGTTTACAGCCTCAGAGGCATCCCACTGGTACTTATTTAAAGGTTATTTTTTATTCTCTATTTAGAACCATTTCAGACCTAGAGCTTTTTTTAAGGTTCTATGTGCCATTTCAAACATAAAAAAAAATACATGGGAGTACCATTACAGATTTTAAGCTGCAGTTACTCCCTGATGAGAATATAAACAATAAAGGAGATTCAGTGCAAGACCTGTGAACATAACTGAGAAACAAAGATAAAAATGTTCCGTTTCATTAGATGTCTACTTATACTAAGCAGTTTGAGCCTTTTAAAGATCTAGAATATGAGGATAAGTTTTGTCTGTCCAAATAGTTGGGTGTCTTTCTATTGTACACATATTTCTAAGCCCTAAATCTTGCAAGATATTTGATTATTTGGAGACATTTTGGTGTACCACACACAGCTGGAAAGGAGAAGAGAAAGTTGTTTCACATGTGAATTAGGACTTCTGTAGGCAATGAGTCAATCTATAACCATTTCCAAAATCTGTTTTCAGTTTACTTTTGCTTTTCTTCCTCTCGTCAGTAATGCTACTGGCCTGAAAACCAGAAGTGGAGAAATGTACTTGACTGGATATTCTCAGGCAGATCACATCCAACTAAATAATGCCTCTATAGACCAAAGAAACAGTTTAACTGCAGCCAAATATATACCTCAAGTACATGGTTGCTTGAGAAAGACCAGATCACACAGTTCAAGTCTTCAGAAACAAACAGTTCCAGGTGTAGGCATTGTTGTCTGGTCTGATTTCGTTCCAAGCAGCAATTACCAGTGTTCTTAAGCTAATTTTATTCCAATTTAAATACTGTCAGTAAAAACAGGTGTTTTTAGTTTCTACTTTCTTTCCCATCTCCTTTCACTTCCCAAGACATTATGAGCATCCCAACGTTAAACAATGCAGGTGGTTGAAATGAGCAGGTGGAGAAGATGGGATGAGTGCAATAGTACAACAGGTGCTGGGTTTGTTACAAACATCAGTTCACTTAGCAATAAAGAAAACATTCTGAGTCAATAGAAGACACTATAGGCAAAGTCTTGTATTTACTACATGTTTGCCAAGATCTTAATGAAGCTGCTCTTATCTGAAGGATTAAACCCCCAAAAGTGTAACATTGGTTTACCTGCAGAAAATTATTTTAATGCCTCAGGAAATGACTTTCTTTTGACGACGCAAGTCTAAACAATCCCAGTTTCCACCATTTTCTACAATTTGGGACAACATATAAGTATGGAAGTATCTTTACCTTATTCATTCTTCCTATAAAAGTGTTAACTGCATCATAACACATCAGTAACTCACAAAGGATCAGAGAATTATACCTGTAACTTACAGTTAGTCTAAATTCTCTTTACTCAGAAAAGGCAATTAAATACGTGAGTTGAGAGATGAATGTAGTTTCTTTCACAAGTAGAATTCTCCTTGCTGGTCAGTTCACACCACTGTGAACATAACTCAGCACAGGCTGCAATATTTAGGCTAAGTCAAAGCTTATTACCATTGCTAATCTTTTATCCCACCATTTGCCAGTCCTCTGGGTTCACTTTAGAAAGAGAAGGTTTTGGTTTGAGATCCTGGTTTGAGTGCATTAACAATTACCACTTTACGTGTTATCACTTACAGTATCAATAAAACCGTGTAAATACGTCATTCTTTTTAAAAATATATACGTTTTTTCCTGTAGGGTTTCTTTTTGTTTTGTTTTTGTTTTTGTTTTTTACTGTACTGAAGCCCTCAGTCATAATATTTGTATGAGGAGTACAAGGTTAAAAAAAACATTGCTAGAGCCAAATAACAATCTATTCTAGCACTTCAGTTTATATTTTAATGAGAGATGATACTTTCTTTTATAATTATTATGCTGTGGTGCAAGACCCCTGGAAGGAATCCAGCTAAGTAAAAGCAAACTGAACAGTAAGAAACAAAAGTAATAAAAAAAATTGTTTACTATTGAGATAATAATCTTTTGTATTCGTGAAATCACTAATTTGCATTTCTCATCCAGATGAAATTTGTGTCGCAAATCGTATTTCAAACAAGGAAGGAAAACAAGTGAGGTATTTTTCCTTTAAAAGTCACAAGCCATTGCTGTGGTGGGCATCAGAAGATGTCTAGGACTGAGGTTTTAAACATATCCAGAACACTCTAAATTTCTATCATACTATCCCAGTGATTAATACAGAAGAGACAACCTTTGAACTGAAGCTAACTAATGCTAACACAGTACCCATAGTTTAAATGTATCTGATAGTAAATTACCTTTGAAAGGTCTCCAGCCTCCAAATAGAAGCAGATAACAAACACATTCCATGAAACCCAAAGGATCAGCCAGACAGCATACTGCAAAGAGAGAAATGATGCATTAGTAATTTTACAGTCAGCTTAATTAACAGTATTTTGCTAGACCCTCAGTTCAATCCAATTCAAAAACAGACAGTAGGTACTGTGCACATGAATAAAATGTTACATATAAAAAAGAATCAAAAATAAATTCTTGTCTTTCATAGACACAGTCTAGCATGAACTAATGAGTACTTGGTCACACCACAAAATCTGTATATGGAAAAAAAGATCGTAGACCTAATAATTCAAATATGAGACTAATCTCAATCTCTTGTTTTTCTGCTCTCTGTGACACTGCCAAGGGAACATGGAGTTGTGTCAGGAGTGGGGCAAGTGTGGGTTAGGGAAAGGCTCAGCCTGAGCGGGCAGTGGGCACGGCCCTGAGCTGCTGGAATTCACGGTGTGTTGGGACAATGCTCTCAGACATAGGGTTTGGACTTTAAGTGGTGCTGTGTGGAGCCAGGGGTTGGACTTGATGAGCCTTGTGGGTCATTTCCAACTTACATTACCGTACTTCACAACACTTCAGTTTTATTCTTTATGTTAATTAATATTAATTAATATTTATATTAATTAATTCTGTACTCTCAAGAATACATATATACATTTTGGTTATTTCTACAAAATATGTAGAGATTTTCCTCAGTTGTAACAGCTATATATATAAACATATTTTACCATATTCCAAGACACAATTAAAAATTATTCAGGAGCTTCCTCAGGAGCAAACTGTTTTTAACTGCCATTTTCTTTTTTGTTGCTTTTAGGTTTAGCTACAATGTATAGCATGAGTATTCATGCTCAGAATTTGTTCACTGGTGGTTACTGAAATCCTTATTTGCGTATATTCATATGAGTAATGGAGTATATTTTTCCTCCTTCTGTCCAATACTTTAATATTATTTTCTATTCAGAACACCTCACATACTGAGATTGGAAACTACATTTCTTTTCTGTACTGCTGGAGGATACTGGGTAACAAAGTTTGAGCTGCTATTGACACTGTTAAGAGCAACAACTTTAACAACCTTTGGATGTACAGCTGGTTTTCTAATGATTGTTGTCACTATCCTCTAGTTATTCATAATTCAACTCTGCATGTTTTCTAAATTCATTCATGGTACTGCGTATGCGTGAAATACAATGACAAAGATGTGACACGATTCTCTGCCCGTTACAGATGAAGTTTACTTCCTCATTTTATATTAGCAACCCATTTCTGTCAAGTATTTATAGAATTAATGTTTGGTTGTCTTTTCTCTAAAATGAACTAGTTAAATTTTGCTAAGCTACCGTTCTCGATTATGTTTAGCATTATTGGGATTTTTCTGCTTTCCTTTATTCTACCTCACCAACTGATGAAGCAGACAACACTTTAGAATATATGATTTTGTAAGAAGTAGATATTGTATATCTAACCATTGTTTGTCATGAATGACGATCTCATTCTCTAAATTCAGCAACAACTTATGTGGGATTCTTCTTGCATTTCTCTTTGAAGTGCTGTTTTGCATCAGATTCAATGCTTTTAATTCCTCAGATTTGTGGGGGTTTTTTTTGTTTTATAATCACAGAATCACAGAATCACCCGGGTTGGAAGGGACCTCAAGGATCATGTAGTTCCAACCCCCCTGCCTAGCAGGGCCACCAAACACACACATTCAGATCAGGTTGCCCAGGACCCCGTCCAACCTGGCCTTAAACACATCCAAGGACGGGGCATCCACAACCTCCCTGGGCAGCCCGTTCCAGGGCCTAACCACTCTCCTTGTATAGAACTTCCCCCTAACATCCAACCTAAATCTTCCCTCCTTCAACTTCGATCCATTTCCCCTAGTCCTGCTGTTGTCAGCCCTTTTGAAGAGTTTACTCCCCTCGTGGGTGTAGGTTCCCTTCAGGTATTGATAGGCTGCAATGAGGTCACCCCGCAGCCTTCTCTTCTCCAGGCTGAACAAGCCCAACTCCCTCAGCCTGTCCTCATAGGGGAGGTGCTCCAGCCCCCTGATCATCTTAGTTGCCCTCCTCTGGACCCTTTCCAAAATCTCTATGTCTTTCTTGTACTGAGGGCTCCACACCTGGACACAGTACTCCAGATGGGGCCTCACAAGAGCCGAGTAGAGAGGGACGATCACCTCCCTGTCCCTGCTGACCACCCCTCTCCTGATGGAGCCCAGGATCCCATTTGCCTTTCGAGCTGCCAGAGCGCACTGCTGGCTCATGTTCAGTCTCTCGTCCATCAGGACCCCCAGGTCCTTCTCTGCCGAGCTGCTCTCAAGGACCACTCCTCCCAGCCTGTACGGGTGCCTGGGGTTCTTCCGGCCCAAATGCAAAACCTTGCACTTTGCCGTGTTGAACCTCATTAGGTTCACCCGAGCCCAGCCCTCCAGCCTGTCGAGGTCCCTCTGAATGGCATCCCTTCCTTCCACCGTATCAACCGCACCACTCAGCTTGGTGTCGTCAGCAAACTTGCTGAGGGTGCACTCAATTCCCTCATCGATGTCATTAATAAAGATGTTAAAGAGCACCGGTCCCAAGACAGACCCTTGGGGGACACCACTTGTTACCACTTGTTTTGTTTTTAAAGGAAATATTAAGTCCATTAATTTGAATTAAGTTACTATGTTTCAAAGTCCATTAATAGCAAAACTTGATCATGCCATTTTTCACTTGATTCTAAATACTGTAAAAACGCCCCTATGCACAGCACATTTAGCAGAAAATTCCAAGGCACTTTGGAGCTGCATCTATTAGCAAACAGTCGTACATTTATATGAAGAAATGAAAGTTCTCTTTGCTGTTATATAGTCTACTTCCTTTTACAACCACATCCCCATTCCCTCTAAAAGGAAAATTTATGTCTTTTAGATATACTTTTTTAATTATCATCTGCTATAATTGGACTACAGATGAGGTTTCAAATATCTTTTAACTGTATTTTTAAAAATTCCTTCCTTTTGAAATGTTATATAAGTGTTTGCTGCCTGAATCCTGTGAATAAACTGAATATAATTATCTCGAAATACAAGAATGCTTCTGCTTCCCACTGCTTCTTATTTCAGGTGCTTCATATCTAATCTATCTCTTATCTCTCTGGATCACGTGCAGTCACAAATGCCTCTTGTCGTCTATGTGTTTCAGCAAACTGCTACAGAAATTCAGCTCTGAAGGTCTGTGACAATGAACAAATCTCTGTGGTACTCTCTATTATATGTATCTAATTAGAAACACAATTTTTTATAAGGGTTCATCAGAAGGCTATAGATGGTTGTTGGTTTTTTTTTTTTCCCCTCATATGTAAGAGCTCAAGACAGCTGCATTATCTGACAGAAGCATTATCTGACAGAAGCCACCATGGTGTTACAACAGTCATATTTCAAAAAGACAAGAACCTTGATGAACACACTTGACCAAGCATGAGATACTGACAGGAGGTATAGCAATGACAACACTGCTTATTATTTTTATGGAAATATGTGATTTAAAGTGGTATAGCTGGAATGCTAAGCTGAAGCTTAAATGTTTCCTTTTTTAAGCAAAGTTGTAGCCAATACATAAAAGGTATTTCTTTCCAGAAAAGAAATTATATATAGAAAGCTCTCAATATTAAAATATTTACCATTCATTAAAAAAAAAAAAAAAAAAAAAAAAAAAAAAAAAAAAAAAAAAAAAATAAAAAAAAAAAAAAAAAAAAAAAAAAAAAAAAAAAAAAAAAAAAAAAAGTATAGCAATCTATGAGGGATTACGAAAAGAATGACTTCATGATTTATTGATACCATGTAACTTTCAAGTTTGAAAGTTTGCTGTTAATTATCACAAAATATCCTAAGGTGCCTTTTCACTCTTAGTAAGAGGAGATCCGAAGTATTAAAATTCCTGTAATGGTACTAATGTATATAACTCTCTTCACATTTCAAAGTTGGTTGAGTTTCACCATCTCCAGTTTACTAAAAGTGAAAATGATGGCCACAGAAATTAAATAACTAGACTTAATTTCATAAACCAATTGGAAAAATGGTGGTGAGGACACCAGAACTGAAGTTCAAGACAACCCACTACTGTCTTTGATACAGACCTGGTCACCAGAACTGTGTGGTTACTTTGGCTGAAATAGAAATATGCCGTGTACTTTCCAAGTACAGACTGTAAGCAACTCTGATAGCTGTGAGCTAATTTAAATTTGAACTTTCTTCTCACAAATCTTTACCTTACATTTCTATTACACTCCAATAGCTTTTGGATATGCGAGTCAATTTCAATCACATTTGACTAAAAGATACAAGGGCTCCAGACCTAGAAGATGTTACTTTATGCAATTCATAGGCAGCAGTAAACTGAATCATTATTGTGATTAGTGATTTGCTAGATATTTTCTTTCTACAAATGTATATAACTTTAGGCTTAGGTTCCTCCAAAGCTGAAAATAGAATACCTCAGACAGTTTCATATTTAATTCAGGAGAAGAAAACAAAACCAAAACCAAAGAACTAAACCCTAAGAGCATCTCTAAAATGAAATGACATTTACTGTAGGAATTAAAGATTGGATTATTTTTGCTACCTAGGCAACAGTACTTGAGTTGTTCAAAGATCAACCTGAATCCAGCATCTTTTCCCAGTAACACAGTAACAATTGTCCGCAATTATCATTATCTTTGCTTCTGAAGTTATTTTCCTTTAATTTCCCCTGGCTAGGAAAATATATCACCTAAAACCAGAGTTTTTAAACTTATCTTTCTTTATCTTTAAGTCATGTCCGATAACAAGTAGAATTCTTGTCATCAACATGCTATCTGAAGTTAATGATAACGTTTGATTCATTTGATTAATCTCTGAGGTGTCTATATCTTTGCTTATCTTCAAAAAGTCCCTCTGAAACAGAAAAAGCTAATATTTGGTAGAGACACTCCTAAACAGGAACCCCCTTTGATTAATTACAGTAAACTTCTATGCTGTTGTCTAAACCTCGTCAGAATCAAAAAGCAGAAGTTCCATTTTTCT